TTTTTTTTAGGTAGCACATTATTTCTTAGTCACAATTTATCTTTTTCATTGGTCACATATTAACCAATTTAATGGTCACAATCAACCAAATGATTTGTAACCACAACCAACGTTTGTGACCATCACCACACCACTCCCTCGAGCACCACAGCCACTTTGCCGCCAAAACCACCACAACCACTCCCTCCCTCCCGACAACAACACAACCACATCAAACAAATAACACATCACATAAACACACCACCACAACATCACGCCATTCCACCACCACCTTGACAAACCCGCCGGCAAAACCCCAACCACCACCATATCCAATACCCCACAACCTCACTAACATCGCCCACATCACCGCTGCCAACACGGTCACCAGATAACCCACACCCATCACCACCACCACCACCACATCCTCCATGTTACAACCCTGTGGTGAGATGAGATCGAGAGAATCAAATACTAGATCTGCATGTTGTTCTCGATCTATAACACTCTACTTTGTCCTAGATCTCACCTGAATATTACTCGCCATCACTACCACTTCACCACTCGTGCCATCGAAATCTCATACACAGACCAAAGACATCAGAATCTCACACAACCACCACCCAACAATCAACAACGACAACCAAAGCTACAATCACAATCACAACCACCTATGTTTAGAGAAAAAACGCTGGAAACCTGATCTGGGCGAGAGAAGAGGGCTAGAGAGAAGAGAATCGAAATTTTAATATTAAATTCAAACTTCATCGAGATTTACCTGATTTCTGAGAGTTGTTGCAGAGAAATTGTGAATCTGAAATGTAATTGCAGAAATTTGTGAAAAAAAGAAAATATAGTCAGTTTGCTTGCGCAGCAATACAGAGAAGAGAGCTAGAGAGCTAGAGAGAGAGAGAGAGAGAGAGAGGGTTTGTTGTTGAAATGTGTGGGGAAGATTAATTAATTTTTGAATTGTTATATTTAGTAAAAATATTTATTTATATATTAATTGATTAAAAAAATCTTTGAGTTTTGAATTAATAAACATAACTTCTGATTTATGAATTGAGATTTTTAAATCTCTGGGATCCTGTAATTTCCTCTTAATAAAATATGAACAATTTTATTACCAAACTAGATTTTTATTTAATGCATATTTTACTTATAATTATATATAAACTTTTATAATAAATAAAATTGTTTTGATTCGAGCTAAAATAAATTAATTATTTTTCTAATAAATGTTTTGTTAAGCTTAAAGTAATTAAATCTTTTAGTTTTAAAAATATTTTCATATATAACTTATTCATACTTAGAAGAAATAAACTTACTTATTTTGACCATAAAACTGATGTTACTATCGAAATAAGTAATTTACTTTATATTTAATCTTACAATAAAAAAGTATTTATAAGAACCGATTTGTTTATAATTAATAAAATTATATGTATATTATAGAAGTAGAATCAAACATGGACGAGAAATAAATCAATTTTTTTTACCTCGAAATTTCTTGTCGTTTTTTGACTTTGGTGGATTCTTCACCCATTGTAGAATGTGTTGGTATAAAATATTGATGCCTACATTAGATAAAATTTTGAGAATGGTGACGTATAGTAATGTCTTTTTGGTTGTCTTTTTGACCAAAACTTTCGATTGTTTGAAATAAATGGTATAAAAATTTTGAGTATTTTTTTTTTTAGTTTTTGATTGATGGATGTATATCATTTGCTTACATTTATCACGCTTCTATCGGTTTATATTTTCTAAAGTGAGCGTCGATTTTTATTTCGCAAGGAAAAAGTATGAATATGTAGTGAGACGTCTTAGGGTGCGAATATAAATTTGTACTTCATTGAGTGCCAGATGCTATTTATTAGAATTGTAATGATTGTAGTCTCCTAAACCCGATCTCTTATAGCTTGAGTTTATTTAAAAATTTTAAATTTTAGCCCACCCCAAAATTATTTCCTAGCTCTGCCCCTGGGTAGATAGACACTGTATTGCCACTTCGGAGCTTCACTGTATCATGAAAAACATACCTACCAAACACAACTAGAGGTCTAAAACGGGTTGAGTCTTATGGCAGTATTTTTCACCTTTCTTGCCAAAAGAAAAAATTATAAAATTCCGTTGTCAAGAAACAAACCACCCAAGTTTCACGTGGTGCTTTTCTTCTTAGCACAGAAAGGAACACTGTGCAGCAATAGTTTGCTTCACTAGACTATCTTCCACCTTTTCTAGGTCGTTTCGAAACGAAAGAAAATTTGATTAGAATTTTAAAGCTTACAACAGAGAATTTGAATGTATTGAAAATAAATTGATTGTTGATTAATGAAAGCAAAAAATTAGAATTGTCGGTGCAGGGGGCAGACACTAGTGACGACACAAGTTGGTAGTAACACCATATTCTAAGGCAATGAACTATCGCCAACAATTCCTTTTGGTGCGTTGAGTAACGGCGCTCTTCATTATTTAGTTTTCGAATTTCATAAGCAACCGAATGCCCTTTTTGCATGAGGACTCCTCCGAGAGCAAAATCTAAAGCATCCGTCTTGACTTCAAATAGTTTAGTCATATCCGATAAGGCCAATATTGGATTCGTCCACACCGATTTCTTCAATTTTTGGAAATCGACTCGGCATTGAGCTGACCAATCCCAAGATTTTTCCCTTTTCGTTAATTCGGTAAGTGGCAATGCAATTTCAAGTTATCCCTTCACGAATCTTCAGTAGTAATTGCATAACCCAAAAAAAGAACGTATATCATGTACATTTTTTAGTGATTACCAATCTTTGATGGTTGTAACCTTCTTTGGATCCATGCGAATTTTACCTTGTTCAATAATGTGACCCAGGAAACTGATAGAAGTCTAAACAAATGAGCATTTGGACGGTTCGGCATGTAGTTCATTCTCTAGTAGCCGATTGAAAACATGCCACACATGTTCTTCTAATGTCTCACTATAGATTACATTGTCGTCCAAGTACACTACCACAAAGTCACATAGAAATCCGTGATGTACCCGATTCATCATCGTACATAACGTCGTTGGGGCATTTGTCAAGGCAAAAAGCATCGCTTTAAATTCAAAGACCCCATATTTGGTTACCACAATAGTCTTTGCTCTATCTCCCTTCTTGATCCAAACTTGCCAGCATCCGATTTAAGATCAATCTTCGTATAATACTTCGCCCTGCTCAGTCGGTCGAAGCAATCCGCCATCAAATAAATAGGATAGCTATTCTTCACAGTGATCTTATTCAAAGCTCGATAGTCGCAGCACATTCTAAGAGAACCATCCACTTTTTTCTGAAACAACACATGAGCTCCATATGGTGACTTCGCAAGCATGATAATCCCACTCTCCAACATTTCTCCCAATCGTTTCCCAATCTCTTTTAGTTCAGGCTAAGACATATGATAGGGTGCCCTAGCGGGAGGTTTGGCACCAGGAATAAGTTTAATCTCATGATCAAATGCCCTCCTTGGCGGCAACCTCTTTGGTAATTCATTTAACATGTTGTCCTCAAATTCCTGAAGTAGCCTTTTGACATGCTTTGGAATAGATCAATCGCTTTTTCGATCTCCTCTAATCAAAGAGTGCACAAAAATGAGGATTCCTTTCTTTTGAAACCCTTACCAAATTGCATGGCTAAAATACTCATCTCACCCATTTTTCTAGCTTGTGTAAGGATAACACATAGCTTATTACCCATCTTCATTAACGAATCATAATATGGAAACAATGTTGTTTTAGTATCCCGAAGAAATTATAATTCCAGAATAAGTTTAAAGTCATCTATTTGAACCACATATAAATTTGTCTTTCTTCCAAAAGGACCCATCTTGATTAACACGGATTTAGCTACTCTAGATACTGGATGAGCAGTTGAGTTGATTGTTTTGATCTTTCCACTACCTTTCTCGGGAACAAGTCCAAATTGCTTTGCTTCGAAACTTGCAAAATAGTTGAGTAGGACCAATATCCACCATATCCCTGATTGGCTTTCCGTTGATCTTTATATCAATGTACATTAGGTCCTTGGCCCTATAAATACGCGTTTTTGATTTTTCCATGTTTACCTTTTGAGGGAACGTCATCCTTTTCAGCAGCCTGATGCGACTGTGTTGCATTGATGTGAGAATGCACCCATCAACTAATCAAAAAGAGTTTTGTAATTCCTTTCAACTGGATTCTCACTTTTTAAGTCCATAAATTACTTGTTATGCAAGTGTTATGGGAATAATTACATGTTCTGTTTTACATTATACAGCAAATATGTTCATTTGTTTACCGTATGACTTTATAATGTTAATAAAATTTGATTAATCATATTAAATATGTAGTGAAAAAGTGAATGAAAGTTGTAAATCCAATGAAATGTGCTTCAGAATTGAGTTTGACAAGTTTTTTAGGCCAAAAAAAAAAAAAAATCTTTACCAGACAAGCACGGTTTTAATTTTGAAATAAATTTAATTTTTTTTTTACACAAATTAAGAATATTTCTAGTATTTCTGAACTATGAAATTCGGTATTCTCCGTGTCACTGTTGAATTGACATGTATATTGTATATCCATGTTTGGGTCCCAATTCAATATTTAGCCCTACCTATTTATTACACGTCTATTCATATTAGGGGAGTGCTATTTTTTCCACACGAATTAGTTTTCTTCAATAATTAATTCGAATTAGTTTCGAAATAATTAATTCACTCCAATATATATTTTTTACTTAAAAATAAGCTAAGCCAAACGTCGACAGTGTTTTCTTTGAAGCGTGAGAACGTTTTAGCTTCTATTTACTCTTAAAGTCGCGATTTCAGATTTTAACGTCTAAAACCCATCGCCCCCAAAATAACACTTGCTAAAACCCTAATTTCAGTAACTCATTCACAGGTCTCTGTAATACTGAGTAGCTTTCACATTCTGCTCTAAATTTATGAACAGTTGTTTAAAGGAAAAATTACGTTCTCTGTGACTGCAGCTTTGAAGTCTTCTGTGTTTTATTTATTCGATAATAATGGAAAAGGACACCTCTTTTCTATTCGCTGGTATTACATTCGACCGCAAAAAATTTGCCCTCGATTTCGCCAGATTCCAGGTACAAATACAAAAAATATTTATATATTTATTTTTTCTTACTTTGGGGATGATGATTGTTTCCCATATATGCTTATGGCTGTTATGCGATGTGCTGAGTCAATGAAAAGTATGTATATTCTTTATATTTTGATTATTTAAATGTGACGGTTGACAATTCAGATTGAAATTATTTATTGTGTAGGAGAAAAATGAGAGTGATAATCTAGTAGAAAAGCCCATGTTGATTGAAAATGGAAATTTTGAGATAGAGGAAGGGACATCGGCACTTGTCAATAAGAAGAGAAAGAGAAAGGCAACTCTTTCGGGTAAGTTTAGCTTTTTAGGTTTCATGGAATTTAAAAGAATATATTTAATGCACTGTTACTGTAAGGAAAAGTTGATGTTTTCTGTGAAAATTTCCCAAGATATGATTTAGTTTCTATGGAGTGGTAATTGGTATATGATTAGGTGGAGGTAATGTCATTGCTGGTGTAAAATATTCAAATGGTGACATTTTCTGATCCCTCAGTAAGGAAGCTCGAGTTGCTATGAGTAAGAAATAAAACAAATTAAAAGGAAGAAACTTCTTATATGAATTAATTTTTTGCTTTGCAATTGCATTTATTTTCAGATCCAGTTAAAGGGTTCACTTTATTCAAAAGTTCAAAATCGAAAGCCGTAAATGAAGGACCTGACCAGCATGAAGATGAAATTTTACAGGGAAAGAAGGAATATCATCAGCAACTAGAGGTTCCTCTCTCTCCTTATTTATAGATTCATTGCCATTTTAATTGTATACATAATTTTAATATATTGCTAAGTACTGGCTTTTTTTAATTTTATTTTATTGGAAAAGCAAGTGAAGAGAGATACTAAGCCATTTTTGTCTTCTCATTCTTATTTTTGCTTTCTCATTCTTATTTTTGGATTTAGAGGGATGCACTTTTCCGAAAGACGCATAATATTCATGTTTCTGGGAGTAAAATCCCATCACCTCTTCATAATTTTGCAGAGCTGAGATCAAGGTACTCATTGGTCATTTTTTCAGATATGCATGTGGACTGGCTGTTTTCTGGCTACATTTGTTCATATCGTATTGCTATTTTGGCTTTGGCGATTAGTAACCTTCAATATTACTCTAGTTGTCTTTTTTGGTCATATTTCTGAAAGAATTACCAGGATGTAAGTTGCCTCAACCCTTTCATGTATGTCTAAGCTTTTCACTGGTGACAAAAGAGTGTTTAGTTCCCATTAATCACATGGCTAAATTATTCCTAACAAGTTGTGAGCAAATTTCATTTCATCCTGTTATCCATATTAAATGTGTGCATTTCTCAAACACAAATTATGTTGATTTCCTTTTATTTGTGTATTTCCACTCTTTGCACGTATCATAGAGCTACTTTTCAGATCTTTTCCCTTCTTGCCAAACCTCAAAGTTGTATGTTTCTTTATAATAAGATCACTTCACATCAACTTTTAAGTGTGGCACAGAGATTGGCTCATGTCTCTGTCTGTCTCTCTGCAATTACATGAATTGTAGGAATTTCATTTCATCATTGAAATAAAAAGGTGATTCCTAAAACACCTCTCTTTATACAGTGTTTTATCTTTTCTTTATCATTACTATGTGTTTTTGTAATATTATTTTGTTGTTTTACATTTTGCCTTTATTTTGTTGCAAATGTATTTTTCATCTTTAATTCATCACTGTAGATGTGCTTCTGCCTTGTGTTTATTTAAATCATATATTTTTAATCTCATTTGTTGCTCTCTATGGTTCTGTGACTAAAGTTTCAGTATATGGTTGATCCTGAACAGATATAGCTGCAGATCATATCTATTGCGCAATTTGGCTGAATTGGGATTTAAAGAACCAACGCCAATCCAAAGGCAGGCTATTCCAGTCTTATTATCTGTATGATCTTTCATTTGAGCTATTCTTTGTTATATTTCTTTTTATTTTTTGTCATTTTGCACCACTGGATGGATCTGTCTATTTCAGTGATTATTTACAAATATTTCCAGGGAAGGGAGTGTTTTGCATGTGCTCCAACTGGTTCTGGCAAAACCTTCGCATTTGTTTGTCCAATACTAATGAAACTCAAGGTATTGAAACGGCACTTTGAATATTTTTGTAAGAATCATTTTTCTGAAGTCCTCTGCTAAATGATCGTGCATGATTAGAACGCTTCAAAGGATGGTTTTAGGGCGGTAATTCTTTGTCCCACACGTGAATTAGCTGCTCAGACGGCAAGAGAATGCAAGAAATTGATTAAAGGAAAGAAGTTTTATATCAAATTAATGACTAAGCAGCTTGCTAAAGGCGCCGACTTTTCAAAGTTTCCCTGTGACATACTCATATCAACGCCATTTCGCTTGCAGTATGCTATTACAAAGAGAAAGCTCGATTTAAGCAAGTAAGTTACCTACTCTCTAGCAAGTGCGATTACTCTAATACCAGTGTAATATTTGCAATAATTTTAAGTCTGCTCACAAGCATCTTGCTTTAACTGTTGATATGAAAAAATATTGATAGTTATTTTGTACTCATTATTTCTGTGTCAAAGACAGTCTCTCACATTTTTTCTCTTGCTGCACAACACAAAATGTTTAATAGTCAGATGACTTCGTGAATGCATGAAAAATAATAGGAATTCCTACTCCAAATAAAGTGTGTTCAATGGACCAGACCATACTTAGCCCACCCGACCCGGTCATTGACTCGGATAAGTCATTGGGTCACTGGATTACTTGTTCAACCGGTGGATCAATGGTTCAACCATTGGGACATCATTCATAGATATGAAAAAAAAAAAAATTTTAAGTGAAAATTTTATATTTTTAAGATTTTTTTTTTTATAAAAATGGTGTATACTTATTATGGGCTTGTTTGAGCCCCATTTTTGTCAAAAAAATGCATTTTTGAATAGTTTATTGATGGGAAATGTGTAGTTAAAAATTAAGGAAAAGTTTTGGATTTGCTTGCAATATTATTTTATTGGAGAATGTGTGGTTTAAATGAGGTCAAAATACATTCAAGAATGCATTTTTTTTTTCAAAAAATGGAGCTAAAAAAATATGTTATTATTACTCTTAAATTACGCAAATTTATCAATTATGAATTTTTTTAAAAAATAAATAAAAATTATAAATACCTAAAAAAAGTTGATAAAAATAAAACACTCAAGTTTCTATATATATGTGTGTGTGTGTGTGTGTATGTATGTATGTATGTGTATATACTGATCTTCAAAATAGGCAAAAGTTAAAATGGCATGGTGGCTAGCAAGAGGATCTATTATAAAGCTTGTACAGGTTCGAATCCAGCACTTGCATATTTTTGTATGTACTATATAGTGTTGCAGTATGGGCCTGACCGGGCCGGGCTGATGTCTGGATTTTGTTAAAACAAGCCGGTTCAGGCAGTTTTTGATTGGTTTTATTGGTTCTTGACGGGTTCGTATGCTTTTTAGGTCAAAGTGTGCAAACCGGCCTGGCTCTCTGTCCGGTTTGGCAGGTTCTGGGCCGGTTTTAATACCTGTGGACCAGACATCACAATTGCATTGTGTATATGGGAAGGGAAAACAGATTGAAGGAATAAATTCTTTTAGAAATATATTTCAAACATTTAATTGGGTTCTTTGGATTTTTGTACTGAAAAAGTACAACGTAAATCATTGAGAAACAAATAGCTGAATGTGTGATTGGAGGAATCATTTGAATCTCCTCCATATATGCAAAACTAATTGTTCTCCTTTTCTGAAGAATGATTGGATAGAATGCCTGGATGTGAAAATTGGAAAACCTGCCACACTATTGACACTCTGAATTAGATGACAATCAACGTGATTTTTTCACTTGATTTTGGTAATGTGCAGGGTTGAATTTCTTGTCCTGGATGAATCTGATAAGCTATTTGAGCTAGGTTTGGTAGAGCAAGTTGATGCGGTGGTGAAAGCATGCTCCAATCCTTCAATCTTGCGCTCATTGTTTAGCGCTACTTTACCTGATACTGTCGAAGAGCTTGCACGTACAATTATGCATGATGCAGTCCGAGTTATTATTGGGCGGAAGTGAGAATTGAATTTCTAATATGCTAATAGAATACTTATTTATTTTATTATTCCCATTTCTCCAAAAATTATAGATACACGCATAATCTTCTTGGTTTTTTTAATTATTTCTTTTTATTGAAAGACTATAAATCTACATATTATTTATGTATTTTTGCACCTCTGATCAAATGACTGCAATTTTTGAACAGAAATTCTGCTTCTGAATCAATAAAGCAAAAATTGATATTCGTAGGAAGTGAAGAGGGTAAGCTTATTGCTCTTCGTCAAAGCTTTGCAGAGGTATATTTCTTATCAGCATGCTAAATGAATTCCTTTCATCCCAAATATAGTCATATATTGAAACATTTTTGAACTATCCTCTTCTAGCTTTTGAATCTTTTTTGTACTCTAAAGAATTCCTGTGATAATATTGCCAATAAATTGTTTATGGTGGTCATCACTCATACTACAGTGAAAACAATTAAGGCAGGAATCCATTAAAAAGAAAATTGTTTGAATAAGCAGTTCTTCATTCTGTGACCAAGTATCATGAGGATTTCTATCTTTTTCTCATTTTAGTCGATTGATTCCTATGGTGAATTTTTGTCATACATGCCATTTTCCTCTATGTGATGATCTGCTTGTTTACTTTGATTGTTGGTGACGCTTTACCAATAATTGGCGAATCTCTGCGAATACAAAACTTGTAGTGTTGTCCCTGCTTTATGTTGTAGAAAAATTCCTAAAACTAATTCAGTCTTTCAATTAACATTATATCGAGGTAACAATTTTTCTGTGAATTGATCGTGGGAGTTTATACTTCTTATAAATCTGTTATATTGCTCGAGTTGCTGTTGCATACTTGATCGATACCTGGTTTTTTCTCTTTTTATTTTCTTTTGTTTGCAGAGTTTGAATCCACCAGTGCTACTTTTTGTCCAAAACAAGGAGAGAGCTAAGGAACTCTACAATGAATTGAAATATGATGAAATAAGAGCTGATGTGATACATGCTGATTTGTCCCAAATACAGGTAATCTTGCCTATTTTTTATACTTCGACAGGAACCCAAACTCTTAGATGAATTTGCCTTGAGATATCAGTAATAACTAGTATTCTGTAGTAGTGCTAGGTTTTGGACAATATCAGGTTTCAGAATTTGCTCAGAGCCTCAAACTTTTTAGATGAGGACACTTTACTAGTTAGATTAAATCAAAGCCTAATATTGTTCAAAATAACAAGTCTATCTGTTTTATTCAAGTCCCAGTTGAATTTCTTACTGAATAAACCTTGGAAGGAAGATCCAAAATTCTATTTCTATAAATAGGGAACACTTTTCTTTTTGGAATTCACAGAACTAATAGTGAAATTGAACTAGATCTTTGTTAGATTTTATGGACAATACTCGTTTCTTTTTTTCTTAGTTCTAATTCTTATTTCATTACTTCATTTCTTCTACTTGTCAATATGAATTTCATCAATCTATATTAATTTCTGCACACATTTCAATCAAATGCAGAGAGAAAATGCAGTTGACAACTTCCGGTCTGGGAAAACATGGGTTTTGATCGCCACCGATGTTGTTGCCCGTGGCATGGATTTCAAAGGTGTCAATTGTGTGATCAATTATGACTTTCCAGATTCTGCAGCTTCTTATATTCACAGGATTGGTATGCAATTTATCCTTGAAGTACTTCTAGCTAGTGTCATTTTGGATGTTAAGTTGCCGGCCTATTTTCTTTACCTCAAAATATCATTGATTGGCTTGGGCTTCAGTTTATGGTGGTGGTTACTGAAACCCAGTTTTCTTGACTTCCGAACAGGTCGGTCGGGCAGAGCTGGGAGGAGTGGAGAGGCTATAACTTTATACACAGAAGCCGATGTTCCATTCTTGCGAAATGTAGCCAATGTCATGACTGCTTCTGGATGTGAGGTACCCTCATGGATCATGTCCTTGCGCAAGAAAAAATGGAGGAAACACAGGCCACAGAGGGAATCAATTTTTACCAAACTGGAAGACGAGGAAGAATAGACTATGGCTAGATGCAAGATTCGAGAAGTATTCGTGCTGAGCTCTTTTTATTACTTTCAAAAAACAACTGTTCCCTTTTACATCTCAAGTTTCTTGGCATTTGCAACACAATTTGGTTCAGCGCCAGTTTTCAGTTGCTAGGAATGGTTGGCAATTCATTTCTCTCGTCGTGCTATCTGCCTTAATATCCCCCCACCCCTCACTTTTCATGGTGGTATGTAATTTGCTCGAGTTAAAAAATTATATTCGAGAAGAAGTGAAATTATTTTGAAGTGATTTGGACTTGCTTTTAACTTAACTGAATCGAGCTCCAGAATTTAATTGACAAATGTGTGTCAAGAGTACTGATTAAAATGCTAAAATTATTTTCCACTTGCTTATTGAAAGCAAAATCAATAATGCAGCTTCTTATGCGAAATCTTACAATAAAAAGCAGGTCCTTGCTAATCATTATTCTCAGTTGAAGCTACTCGTAAATACGAATATTCAATCAATTTGCATGACTAGAGCAGTGCAAAAATAAGTAGCTCTCAATGGAATTAGTTCAATTGTCTTCTATGACTCCATGGTTTTATCACCGCTTCCTTTCCATGACAGATAAAACAATATCTACAGACCAGATGCTTTCAATCTTACATAGTTCAACTATTAGAGACGTACAAAATCCTTAATCACTGCCTACCAATCTTACGCATTCAAGTTACAGAGGAAAATTTGCTTCATTTTGCTAATACCAGAAGACGAATGCGGAAATTTGATGGCACGCACATTAGTTGCCAGTTTCCAGCAATTGAGTACTTTCATACCACTATCTCTTCCCCCCATTCTTGCTGTTGCTGCCTGTGTTAACAAACAAAATTTGGACAACCACCTTCGCAGGCACTTCCCAGCCGCACAGATTGCTGTGGAAGTGTATTCATCTTGATTAATATTAAGACAATTTCGAAATAGTTCTCTCTAACATAGACGTTTCCTTGAAGATTATCATTTGCCAAGATATCTCTGCAATTCAAAAGCTGCAAGACAAGAGAAACCATGAATGACAGATCAAATATGTGAAAGCTACTTTAGGGTGTGTTTGAGCAACATTANACCTTCGCAGGCACTTCCCAGCCGCACAGATTGCTGTGGAAGTGTATTCATCTTGATTAATATTAAGACAATTTCGAAATAGTTCTCTCTAACATAGACGTTTCCTTGAAGATTATCATTTGCCAAGATATCTCTGCAATTCAAAAGCTGCAAGACAAGAGAAACCATGAATGACAGATCAAATATGTGAAAGCTACTTTAGGGTGTGTTTGAGCAACATTATTTTGGAAGAATGTATTCTGGAATAGTAGATTGATGGAAAATGTGTGGTTGAACAAGAAGGAAATGTTATTGATGCAATGAAAATTATTATTTTATTGAAGAATGTGTGGTTAAAAATGAGTAGAAGAATGTGAATGAAAAAAATAATGTGGACCAAACAGGCCTTAATTATTTTTGGACCTGGGAGGGGCGAGTTGCAATTCAGCATACCACATTCACATCCAAACTTCTCTGTCCATATTGACCGACTCAACAAAGCTTTCTCATACAAAAATGGGAGCAATTTCTTGATGCAGGAGAACAGGATTTGTAAGTATCCTGCACAAATAAGTATGGATTAGGCAAAAAAAAAGATGCCTCACAGATGGAAGAGCAATTTTTTACTGAAAAGAATTCATTAAATAACAAGTGAATTGAGATTTGAGAGGCATGACAAAAAATAAGCAAAAATAGGGAAGCTTGCCTTGTTTTGATTACCAACTGGTTCATGTAATAATTAGAACCCAGTAGGACTCGTAATACAGAAACCCCAAGCTTTTTCCAAGAAACTTATCGTTTCTTCACTGCACTGTTTTCCCTAAAATTTTCCAACACTGTAATTTTAGTTCCAACCTTACTCTTAGTCACAACCCATTTTCAAATATACAGGTATACTATAATGCATGAAAACCATAATACTTTGACGAAGAGGCCTTCCACATGTAGAAAGGAAAATTTTGTATAGATTCCCCTAGGCATGTTCCAAGTAGGTATTATAAGCAGTAAGCATTGTTAATAAAAATACAGAAGAAAATTATACTGCATTAACTATTTACATGGCCATTCTATTATTGACTCTATTGTGGGTGTAGAATAAGTAAGGCTTAAGCTTTTTAAATTATTTTTTAAATCCTTGAACTGAGAAGCAGCTTAGGTTCAAACCTCTTCACCTTCCACTGCCTCTGTTGTTAATTACAGGCGTGGCATTTGCTGTCGATAATGCTTTTCTTTTCTCACTACTTGTTAACAGTTTATGAAAAAGAAAACAGAGCATGAAGATAATTTGACCAATCCAATTATAAAGAGAACAAATCAAACATTCAAGATGTAGAGGAATGAATTCTTCACGGGAGGTAGCCAGCAACTAGCAAGCCCTGATTATATACATTGGTTTGAAATTATATACATGGTGTTAGTGTACTCTGATGATTCATAAAAAGGTACATGCAAGGATATGAATTACACCAAAATAGATATATATTTTTTGATAACCGTGGATGTCCGGGCCAGCTTGAAAGCACCTCGACTAATTCCACGGGGCCCTGAAGTTTACGGTCGGGTACTCACCTCAGTAGCCCTGAGAGGACTCGAACTGGTAACCATTGGAGAGCAAACCCAAGGCCTGACCAATTGAGCAACCCCTCAGGGTTGAATTACACCAAAATATAAAACTTATCTCAATAAGCTAATGCTAATTAAAGTAAAGTGGGACCTGCCCTTCCTTTACTGTATATTTCTGTTAAGCAGTAACATTAATCAGTATAACACGAGGAATAAAGCATAACTTGGAGTTAAGCAGTATCATTGCAACAGACTAACAGGCAAATTCCACCAATTAAAACAGAGCTATACCACATGGTATTTCTCCCTCCTTCCAAATGGTTCATGGGTTCATAAAATTTTTAAAATGCAAAAAAGATGATCCCTTTTTGTGTGTGTAAATGTAAATAGAAAAAAATTACTACATATTAAGTTACCCAATGATGCTAACTAAGCTTTTATAAATGCCTAGTTGAAAGCATGTGATTTGCTTGTAAAGATGCATTTAATAACATAAATTTATCTTTGGTTAAATATATGCTATCAATAAATATTAACTTTTGAATGTTAGTGGGGGGAAAAAAAGGAATAAGCACGAACCCAAATTACTCCAAAAAGGTTTTCAAATCCAATGAGAGAGACTGACCAGAACTCCAGAAGTAAACACAGAATAATAAAAAAGGCGCGAAGAAAATTGATTGCTCAGGTAAAAGGTACTTTTACACCTCCTAACAGCATAACAAGTAAAATAAGAAATGAGGGATATAAAATCCACACCACTCAGGTACCCAATAAATAGAATGGACATAAATCTTACTTCAACTTCATATATACATACAGTCTTAAGTAACAAAACCATAAGAAACAGATACCTCTTTGCAAGATGGAGAAGCCTGCTATGCTTTAATTGTTCGAGATCTCCTGACATAACCAACACGCATCAGATATAAACAAATAGTGATGACAATATCCAGAAAAGGGAATATTCAGTAATAACACTACGTTTAAATTCTCACCCTTCGACATTGAAGCACCAAAAATCATTCAGAGAAAACATGGTTCACCGGTAAACCTTACCCCCGCAAGGGAACATAACCAGCATCCAACATTTGCAACCACAATTCCTCCAGCATTGTGTATATTCTGCCTCTTTCAGGATGGAAACCATCTTCTGCTGAGAAAACATGACTATTGTCCTTGAGTTCAATCCAGCTTTGACCTGGAACTTTCTTGATGCCGTTTTGTCTCATCAAGCTCCTCGCTGTGGCAACATCTTTCCAGCTACCAGTTGAAGCGTATATGTTGCAGAGCATCACATGAGCAGCAGAATTAGAGGGGTCAATCTGCAGAATATTCTCTGCAGCCCGTTTTCCAACTTCAATATTATTTCGAGTTTTACAGGCAGCCAATAGAGTTTTCCATATCACAATATCAGGTTCAAATGGAATTTCATTGATGAAAGCTTCAGCATCACAGATGTGGCCAGCTCGAGCAAGCAAGTCAACAACACATGAATAATGCTCTCTTGTGGGGACTACGCCGTGCTCCTCTTCCATGGTATTAAACAACTGCCACCCTTCTTCCACCAGTCCAACATAACTACAAGCAGTCAAAACTCCCACCAATGTCACCTGGTTTGGCTTAGCTCCCGAACTCCTCATTTTCGTGAATAGATTTAGAGCTTCTTCTCCATATCCAAACTGAGCATATCCCACAATTAAAGAACTCCAAGAGAAAACATCAGGATTTTCCATGCAGTCAAAGAGTTTTTTAGCACTTTCTAGGGATCCACATTTCACATACATGTCGATAAATCCATTCATGACAGAGACATCAATAGTGAACCCGGTTTTCAAGGCAGAGCAATAAACTTGATCCCCCATCATTAAAGATGCGATTTTTCCACAAGCTCCAAGTACAATAGTTAAAGTAATATTATCCGGCCTATTATGAGATAGCAGCATCATTCTTAATACCGAGAAAACCTCTCCTGCCTTGTGATGCACACATGCCGTAAGTATGACATTCCAAGAGACTAGATCTGCCTTGCTTTGTATCTTGTTGAAGATTTTATACGCATCATTAAAATCTGAGCAATTTGAGTACATTGAAAGTATCGTATTACAAACTGGAACATCCAAATCTATTCCCGTCTTCATAATATACGAGTGAACTTGTTTCCCTTGACAGAGAGTTGATGGATCTGTGAAAGCACTAAGTAAAGAACGAATGGTGATATCATCTGGTCTCAACTCCTGATATCTCATCTGAGAAAAATTCAACATGGCTTCATTCGCATCACCACCATATGCAAAGGCTGCAATGAGTGCATTCCAAGACACCACATCAGGATTTTCTATCTGGTTAAAGGCAGTTTTTGAATAACA